AAAAAAAAAAAAAAAAAAAAAAAAAAAAAAAAAAAAAAAGCACAAAGGAGGCACGCACTAAACTTGAAATGTGGAGACAAACATTTTTATATTTAGCTCCAACTCCATCACTATCTGGCAGACTACATAATCTCTATAAAATTTTTTCCTCTCAGAAATGGGAAAACTAGACTATGTAACTACTAAGATTATTTCCAACTCAATGATTCTATGACTCATTAAGTAAATAAATTATACTCTAAAGCATATGTATCAAGATACTATTTTTCCAGATACAGTAAATCAGAAAATGTAAGAGATGTAATATCTCACTACACTGATATGTAAAACAGACCAAACTTCTTGATATGTCTGACAATTTTTTTTTTTTTTGGTATGGAACTCGGGTCCTTGCGCTTTCGAGGCAGGCGGCGAAGCACTGAGCTGATCTCTGGCCTGTCATGACATTTGTAATCAAGATTATAATCCAGAAAGATCATATATAAACAGCTAAACCACTGCCTTAGGTCATCTTCAAGTAAAATTTACATAACCTTTCCTATTTTAACATTTTAAAACAAGTCTATATTCTTGAGTCTACCTTTACTTGTTCAGTTCAAGTGTGCTTTAGCCAAAAGTCACCCAAGGAAGTCATTCATAGTAAGATTTACAAGATTTTTAGAAACAAATCTAAAATAATGAAGCGCTTTTCATATTTTTGCCTGTATCACCTGTAAAACTCTTTAGCCTGTTATAGTAGTTTAGACAGCATTTTAAAACTTACCTTATGTTCACAGGCATCTTGTAAAACAAAAAATCAGTTGTTTATACTAAGGCAACCTAATAATTTTCATTACCACCAATACTTATACTTACTTCAAAGACAGCAATAACCAACACGTCATTTGTTCCTCTTGCTGAATTTAACAGCTTATTAACTTATAGTATAATTTAAAAGCACAATTAGGATACTATCATTAAAACATGGTATTGTTTTTTTAAAATTCAGAAATATTCACAACTGTCACCTCGTCCGTCAAATCAAAACTGAAGATTTTTGTTATGCATTTCCAAATCTAAAGGATAGGGGCAAAACACAGTACATACTACTTCTAAAAGCCTCTCGGCTATCAGATTTTAATTTTAGCGTAAAATGCCTCAGAAAACTTTTCAACCGAAACCTAAATTCCACACACATTACTGCGCGTCAATCAACCAAACAGAAGGTGAGAGATCATTAGGAAGTTACATAATTTGCAGTATCTTCGAGGCGCTTCTTATTTAAAGTAGCTTCCAACAATTCCCAAGCATTAAAGTTCAACTCGCAGTTTCAGAGTGAATTATGAGAAAGCACTGAGAACATTACGCTTTTCTTTCGAAGCGGCCACAAGGAAGCAGGAACTGGTCATCTGTTGAAAGAATGCACGGATCGAGAGCACCAGGAGCGGGCTGACTCAGGCGGAGGAGCGCCGAGGAC